CTCCACACAGTGGAAAGTCTTTGCATAGTCAATAATGCACAGATAAAAATCTTTCTGGTATTATCTACTTTCAGCCAAGATTCATCTGACATCAGCAAGGATATCCTTAGATCCACATCCCTCTCTAAATCCAGTTTGGGCTTTGGAAAAATTTAACTTGCATGTGAAATTAATGATATTGTTGATGATTCCTGCATTCCATTGGGCAACCTCTCTTTGGAATGGATACAAATGTGGATCTCTTATAATTGGTTGGTCAAGTAGCTGTCTTCTAAATTTACTGGCATAGATGAGTGAGCACCTCCAGTGCTGCATTCATATGCTATCTTGATCATATGCTATCTCTTGAAAAGGCTGAACATCAACCATTCATTTTTGATACAGTGATCTATGTATACTTTTCATATTCTTCTGATGTTTCCTGCATCATTAAATATTTTTTCCCACAGAATCCTTTAATATTGCAATTTGAGGTTTGAATTTTTTCTTCAGTTTTTATGTACAGAATGATTTTAAAAAGATCTAGATTGATGGTTATACAACATTGAATTGTATAATTAAAAATGGTTAAAATGGCAAATTTCATATCATACTTTACCACAATAAAAATGTGTAACTGAAAAGAAAAGTAGATAGACCTGAACAAAAAATAGCAAGTTCTTGGGTAGAAAGTCTCAAGTTGTCAAATCTCCTTAAGTTAATTTATACATCTAACACAAAACCAATACAAATCCCACTAGGTTTCTCTGGAAATAGACAGTTGAGTCTAGAATTCATATGGAAAACTAAACAATAAAGAAAAACCAAGACGACTCTGATAAAGAAGTTAGCATATGCCATTGGGGAAAAGAAGGAATTAGGTGTCAGGATAAGGGGGGGTCTACATGTACTTTTCAGTCTATCTTTTGGACAATTTATATTTTGTACCCGAGTCTTATTATATTAAAAACAAATGAAAGGACTGGATGATGTGAGTGATGACATCCAGAAAATTTTAATCCTGCAAGGGATTATAAAGGTTGTGAAGGATAATGCAGTGTGAATATCATTACAAAATAAAACTCAGAGGTTTTTCAAAATGAAAAGGAGTCTAAATGCCAAATAAATACATTTTTAAAATACTACACATCTATGAATTACTGCATGCATAAAAAACTAAAACTATGATGCAAAGAGTGATTCTATAGATTATAGACAGAGACAGTAATCCCGAATGTATGGTTATGAATGAATTGAAATCTTGAAATCAGGTAAGAGGTCTTGGGGTGGCGTTGTGGGTTAACGAGCTAGACAGCAAAGTTGGTTTGAGCCACAAGGTTGGTGGTTCAAGCTCACCAGCTACTCCTCAGAAACCCTATACAGGGTTGCTATGGGTCGGAACCGATTTGATGAAACTTAACAACAACAACTGGCCCTCTAAAATTTGAAAACAGTAAACAGATACTGCCTGAGTAGTAAGACTATACGGTAACATTACAATAATCAAAGACCATTTGTTACTCTAAAAGACTTTAAGAAAATGTTGGAAAATGTGCAATGGTATTAACCTCTCACTGAACACCTGCCATGTGGCTTTCTCAATTAAAACTAGCTGGTTTTCACTCACTCACCTGACCAGTGCCTCCCAAACATTGTTTCCTTTACCAGCCATGGCTCCGCTTCTTGCTCCAACTTGAAAATCACGTCTGGTTTGGTGACTTGACAGCCTATTGTCACAAGAGACCTGGATGTTAACATTGAACACAAAAATAACTAGAGAAAACCGCACTCCACATCTTAGGCAGTATTTGGGGGGCTTGAGGACTTATGAAAGGTAAGGAAGCAGGGAATTCCAAGACAGCACAAAAAAACAAGTAATTCATCTTTATCTTGGAAACGGAAGCACCTAAGAATACAGTCATATGAAGAGCAGACAGGCCCGTCTCATCTAACCAGTTAGGGTTCACACATTTTAGCAAATGGAGAGGAATTTTGTGTTAAACAGCAATGCAATCCTCACCTACGGTGACTAGGTTGCTGTAATTCTCCAGCATCACTTCCCGGTACAAGTTCCTCTGAGCAGGTTTCATTTGCTGCCACTCCTCTTGGCTGAAGTCCACAGCCACATCTGTAAATGTCACTGTTGCCTGTAAAAACACAATCCTAATTAATGTGTAGTCATCAAAATTGAGCTTTGTGGTCAAAACATAACAATTCATTTAACAAGTACTCAGAGGTCAGAGTTCACTAAAAACGGTATATTGCATCTTTGTTGTTATGTTGTTAAATGCCAGCAAGTCAGTTATGATTCATAGCAACCCTGTATAGGGTTTCTGAGGAGTGGCTGGTGAGTTTAAACTGCCAAAATGTGGTTCAAACAGACCTTGCAGTCCAATGCTTATCCTACAGCACCACACCAGGGCTCCAACTGCATCTTTATATGCCTGTTGATCTAATTTTGTATTATTCTGTAGGGGGAAATAAATTATAGAGTAAATATACTGTCAAAGTATGTTAACTACTGAGTCAGTTAACTTATGAATTTATTATCTTCGTATATTTACAAGGCTGGCAGAACTGAATGTGACTTAGTCTTCTGAGATCACTCAGGTGGTCGTGTAAGAAAAGGAACATGGCAAGAAATGGGAGGCAAGAGAAAGAAGGTAAAAGGAGGGAAAACAGGGTGTGAAGAAAGGTTTTTGGTTTTTTTTTTCATGAAAACATACATTATAGTTCATGCATCTAGTCACCAATTTCTACATGTAAAGTTCAATGATATTGGTTTCCTTCTTCGTGCTGCGTTACCATTCTCAGGATTTCTCACCTTAGTATTTTGCCATTGCAGTGCTGTGAGTCACTTTACGTGCTTCTTCTAGCCATAGTTTTCTACCGCTTGCCTGTCGGTTTTTGTAATGTAGTGACTTGCGTGTTGCTGTGATGCTGGAAGCTATTCCACTGTATTTTAAATACCAGCAAGATCACCAATGGTGGGCAGGTTTCAGTGGAGCTTTCAGACTAAGATAGACTTGGAAGAAGGAGAGGTAGACCACTTCTGAATAGTTAGCCACTGAAACTGCATGAACAGCAGCAGGGCACTGTTAGATATAGTGCCAGAAAAAGAACGCCTCATGTTAGAAGGCACTCAAAATATGACCTTGGAAAAAGCTGACTCATCAAAGTAGAGTTGACCATAATGATGTGAATGGGGCAAAGCTTTGGGGGCCTTCATTTGTAGATGTGGCACAATTTAAAATGGGAAGAAGCAGCTGCAAATATTCTTTAATAATAGGAATGTATGAAGCATAAATCTAGGAAAATTGGAAGGTGTCAAAAAGTGATATGGAATACATAAAATGGATATCCTAAGCATTAGTGAGCTTAAATGGATTGGTATTGGCCTTACTGAATCTAACAGTCATAGTGTTTACAATGTCAGAAACATCAAATTCAAGAGAAATGGTCAAAAAAGAACTATCCTGAAGTACAATGCTGTCTGTGATAGGATAATACCTACACCCCCGCAATAATATTCATACCATTAAAGTCACTGATGATAAAATTGAAGAATTCTACCAACTGCTTTATTGACACCACCAAGGCTATATTTGCTAACTACTGATCCTTCCTTTTTATCTCCAATCTTCACATTCCCATCACCATTGCATGTTTGATCGATTTCACACTGGAGAAATTGGTAGAATTCTTCAGTTTCATCCTCACTGGCTTTAGTGTTTGGTGAGTAACCCTGAATAATAGTGGTACTAACTGGTCTTCCTGGTAGGTGTCTGGATGTTATCCTATCACCAATGGTATTGTTCTTTAAGATAGATCTTGAAATTTTCTATTAGGGTCATCTCTAGCAGCCCTAATTAGAATAGTCAATAGTAGTAGCTGGGCACTATCTAGTTTTTCTGGTCTGGTAACTCCTTTTAACTAGGTAGAATACAGGTCATCTAGAACACCAGAAAAGAAAACAGAGAAAGCGATAGCTGCACAGTCCTGAACCATTCTTACGATGGTTAGGTTTGAGCCCATTGTTGCTGACACTGTATCAATTCATCTTCTTGGAGTCTTCTTCTTTTTCCCTGACCCTCCACTTTACCAAGCATGATGCTCTTCTCCAGGGACTGCTCTCTCCTGATAACATGTCCAAAGTAACAGAGATGAAGTTTCAGTATCTTTGCTTCTAAAGAGCATTCTGGTATGCTACTTCCAAGACAGATTTGTTTGTTCTTCTGGCAGTCCATGGTACTTTAAATATTCTTCTCCAGTCTTGCTTTCACTTGCTTACAAGGCAACTGAAAATTGCCTAATGCAATACGTTGTTTGGTTTCTTGATTGCTGCCTCCATGAGTACTGACTGTGGATCTAAGCAAAATAAAGTCTTTGATGACGTCAATCTTTTCTCCATTTATCATGAAGTTTATTTATTGTTCTGGAAGTAATTAATTCTTTAAAGAAACAGAAAAACTGATCACTAACTTTATATGGAAAGAAAAAGAGACCCTGGATAAGCAAAGCATTACTGAAAAAGAAGAACAAAGTAGGAGATCTCTTACTTCCTTAGCTCAGAATCTATTACACTGCCACAGTAATCAAAACAGCCTGGTTGGTACTGGTACAACGAAAGCCACACAGATCAATGGGAGAGAATGGAGTTCACAGAATTAAATCCATCCATCTATGATTAGTTGATCTGCAACAAAGTGCATTAAGTGGAGAAGAGTCTCTTCAACAAATGTCACTGGTAAAATGGAAAATCCATTTGCAGAAAAATGAACAAGACATCTCACACCATACACAAAAAATGAGCTCACGGTGGATTAAAAGACCTGAATGTAAAGCCTAGAACTATAAAGATCATCAATGCAAAAACAGAGGCAAACTGAAGGCTCTAATATGTGGTATAAATATACTATTAGGGTCACTTTGAGTCAGAACTGACTCGATGGCACTTAATAACAATAATAAAAATACATATAATTTATGGAACACTTAATATGCATGTCTAACCCACCCAAGATTTGTTTCTATCGACTAAATACCATTATTATTCCTATTTATAGATGATGTAACTAAGGCACAACGAGATTCAGAAACTTGCCTCCAATCACACACTAGGTGGCAGAATCAAAATTTGGACCCTAGTCCGTCTCTAACTAAGGGCTGTTCTTGTAACAGGAGAAATAAGTAGATAAATCACATAATCATACTGTCAAAAGATGTGTGTTTTTCAGGATGAGAGAAAAAAAGTTAGTGAAGTGGGAAATATTCATATGAGTAAAGAAGTATGAGAGATAGTTGATAAAGACCCCAGAAGTGGGAATAGAGTCAAGAGCAGAGGAAAATGGGTCATTTTGTAAAAGGATGAAGAACACCACATCTGAGACCATAGAGCTGTCAAAAGCTATATATACCCAAACCACAAGATTTGCTGTAGAATATTACTGTATACTTTACCTCAACTTGTATCAAAAGATCAATTTTTTTTAAATGTAGGATTACTTGAAAGGCATGTATATTTCATTTACTCCTTCAAATTGTCTAAATTTTAATCCTTAAGCAAGAAATACATTTAAAAAATGAGTTTAACAATTATAAGAATGATTTTAGATTTTGACCTAGTGTTTCTTAAGCAGCTAAGTTTCTTCTTCATAAACAGTACAATTTATGAAATGAAGTTTGTGTTTCAGCTTCTTGTTCCCCTTCAGATCATATTAAAATTAAAATTTGAGCCTAATTTTAGTAACTGTGTATGGATGTTTTCCTGCATATTCATGTCCCAAATTTCCCTTGGTTCTGATTTCCTCTTTTTCCTCATCCTGATTTTCATCTATCAATTTTTCCCCCTCAGTTTCCTAGGTGAACTGTACTAACACACTACAGCATTGCAAAGTACGGTCAGAAGTAAATAACCTGCTTAAAACGTACAAGAGACCTGGTCATATCCTCTTCTTCCCTGGAAAGGGCAGTCCTGAGAATGCCAAGCTGAGGGAAGAGAAATAAAATAGATTTGTTTCAGAGCTCCAGGCAAACAAGTACAGAAATCTTTAGCACTAAGTGGCTATAAGTCCCCTATGGTGATTAATCCACAAGTTATAAGAAATGCTAACAACCATTTGGGGCCTGATGGAGCTATCTGGAAGACAAAGTATAGGGTGCCCAAAGAATCTATTAGCAAAAGTAGTATTCTCCTAGGTTCTTGCTATTGTATTCCTAGAAATTTATCCTAAGAACATAATAATAATGATTAAGTACAATCTTAATTCCCTTTGATTGCTTCCCATAAAGCTGGTAGCCTGGCTTATATCCTTCTAGAAAAATTTGGAAAGGGGAGTGTTATTTTGATGATAAAACTTTAATCAGAAATTGGTTATAGGCATTATGGAATAATCAGATGATAGAATAAAATGCAGCCACGATTTTAATGACAGACTAAATCACTTCATTGGCTTATTTTAGTCATAAAACATTCAGGGCTTCACCACAGAAAGCTTGTAAGTCCATCCTATGCCTATAACTGATTGAAATATCTAAAATGGGGCTACAACATGCCCAGTGAAGGAGGCTCCCTGCAGAGCCTCTGTAACACATAAGACTATAGGTAGAAGCCAGAACCACATCCAGATCTCCAGAGATGGGAAATTCCCACTTGAAAGGATGAACAGAC